TGACAGCATCACTTTGTCACTAGCTTGCACAGCGTGAATGGTGGGGCATGTGATGTTCTTGTCGTACATTGTCGCGAAGTGGTCCATGCCCTTGCATTTACGGCACTCTTTGCCCTTGGCAGGACACATTGACTTGGTGTGCTGAGATCGTCCGCACTGCGGGCACTTCGCCGGCTTGTCAGCTGGAGCAGATTTTGGCTGACTAGTCAAAGCGGATTTGCTTCGTTGGTATGAGTATAGCGTTGGCACGCTGGTGACTTCACAGCGTATAGCGTATAGTGTTAAGCGTATAGCATATAGCGTACATTTCGCGTATCCCCGTACGTTAGCGTATTCCCGTACATTAGCGTGCGGAGTCTGCCTGTGTATAAAAGCTGCTGCTCACGATTCTTTCGATGCCAATTAATTTCATTGCCAGTTATAGTTACATTTCAATTGCCAGTTAATTTACCTTCATTTCAGTTCAGTTCAATGTGTTAATATAACAGTGTGTTCCCTGAGACCCTTGTGTATTTTTGCCTCCGAGAGACTGCGGCCTGCTACAAAATTGGTGGCAGTGGTGGGATTCGAACCCACGCCTCCGGAGAGTCTTTTCACGGTATTTAGGGATGCCGGTACCATGCCGTCACCGGTCTGCTGTGCGCCTTCCTCAGCCCTGCAAATCTAAGCCGCTGTTTCCAGAGTGAGGGACGGAGGTGCCAGGAGCTTATGGTGTGTATCATCATTAGCTCCGCGAACTATGATGCGGTCCCGCATCATGTCATCCGAATGTCCGGATCAAAAGCCTGACGAAGAGCTGATACCCGAGTCTCACGACTTTGACTGGCGAGATGCTGACTCACAGCATAGTCGTTCCAAGCTTCCTATCATGCCGTGAAATCGGCCATGGTGGCGGTGCTCAGCAATACTGGTTGCTCGACAGAAATTGGTTCCCGACTGTGAGATGTCAAGGCGCTACGTGGTACCTGGTTGTCGCGCGTTGTGTTCTCAACCAGTGTGGTGATGCGAGTCTCCCGTGCCTCGGCCGCTTTCATCTGCTGCTGCATCAAGGCGAGCTGTGATGCAATCTCTGCGCCGATAGAGAAAATTCCAGATTCCGTCATCACGACAATTCTTATATACAGTATAGCAGGAAATTTTCGGACGGAATTTATTTTTGGACGATTTCGTACACGGCCTCTTTTGTACTAAAATTAATTCCGTACTAAAATTTGTTCATGTGAAATTAATTCACACTATAGCATGCTAGCATGCATACTGCTTGCAAACATGTGTATTTAGCATGCAGCATAGCTACTAGCTAGTACGAGGTGATTTGTAATTTTTTAACATTGGGTCATTTCTTAACAAATCGGTAAAATATCTCATTGCCAGCGCATGCAAAAAGTCACGTCAAATTTCTTTTTACCATTGCCATTGCCAATGTTCTGTCAAGTTCGCCTCCAAAATTGAGACTGATATTCCTTCAGGAAGTGACATTGCAAGAGCTTTCAGTCTGCATGTGCGTGATGTTTACGGTAAAATAGAGTATAAGAGAGTCATAGCCGCTGGTTTCAACCTCCAGTGACAACATATATTTATTTTAGCTGAAGAGGAAGCATATGATAGCTACATACTGGAAACGACGCCTGAGAAGGAGGAATGTTGGTGTGTTGGCCCTGGTATTGGCCAAACATTGGCAATTACTGAATTTGCTAACAGGTGTTGATCACAATTGCACATGAAATCAGGGTGATACACCTATTGCTATGCAAGCTTGAATGGCTTGTATTTGGATGAACATGATCTTGATCCAGTCTTGCTGGACCATCCTGGATACGTAGGGTCTCCTTTTATTGAAAACTGACTTGAAATTGTGCCACTAAGGCCTATTTTACCATGATGTTAAGAAATGACCACAACAAATAATATGCGGAAAAATTGCCATTTTTCAACTGCCACCTGCTTCCCAACACCAAGGATTATGTGAATAAGAAACCCAACATTGCAATCCAAGGACATCAGTATTACATTTTGAGAGGGAGAAATGGAAAGATTCACACCTCGAACCCTACGGAAGGCTTTTTTTACTTTCGTGTCAAATAATGACGAATCACCTCGTACTGTGCGAAAATATAATCCGTACGAAAGGTCGAAATTCGGCTTTGTCCGAAAATATTTCCGTCCGAAAATCTCCTGCTATGCAGTATTCTGCTGCAAATAAGTACACCTATGGTACATGTTCAATTGCTACAGAATTCACTTACAACTACAGATTGTAGAATATTCCGTACTCAGGCTACTAGTAGTTCACTGCGCCATGATAGGTTCGATAGACGAGAGACGAGTGGTTTATTAGTTAGAATACACCAAGTAGAAAAACTGAGAAGTTTCAATCCGTCAACGACGGAGGAGACTCTCAAAAAGACGCGCGTGCGTGCATACATGGTAGAGCTAAACTGGTACGACATTACGTCAAAACATTACAAACTCTTTCACTGCTGATCCAGTTTCCTCCTGCCGGCTAAGCTTTCAACGCACCTGCTTTCATTTCAAAACTGCATGCCCGTCGCCGAGCAAGATCTTTAGCCATTTTGGCATTCGTTTTTGGATTTCCATGATCTATGGCTGGTTGGAAAGGCCTGAGCCAAACGAAGGCTCCCTGGCAGTTCTGAGCTCCACAAGCATTCCAGGGTCACTTCTATGTGCTCTAGAAGAAGCCCCTACATGTCTCAGGGTCGCTAAACAATTTCATAATACATTTTCGTTCCCCATCTCTCTCAAACTACCGTAAAGTCTTGTAAAAAAGCCGTACTTGAATAGAAGCCGCCCTCGAATAGAAGCCGCAATTTTAGGCCCATCAAATCACACACAAGCCTGGTTTTAGTGTTGACATACATAGAAATACCTGTCTTGTATAGAAGCCTGTCTCATATAGAAGCGTGCAAAATTTCACCAAGAAAGTCATAGAAGCAGCGGCTTTTATACAAGACTATACGGTAAACCAAACTTCACGGTTCAGACTGCGCTGCAAAGCTGAGATCCAAGCGCTTTGTTTGATGCCCAACAAGTATGCGCTGTGGCAAAGGGAAATCTAAAAAAGCGAATCGCAAGCAAAAAGGTTGACCTGATGACCAAAAAGCGTATTTTTGCATATATTTTGCAACTCTATTCGTCCTCGCGGACTCAAATCTAGTCCTGTCGCAAAGAACTAGTATGGCCCAGAATCTGCAAAAACCAGGCTTAGGTTGATAATTTCACAAAAATGACGTTTTCCCATTTTCAGCTTCTACTGGGCATGGGAGGTCAGGAAATAAAATATTACAGGTGTGGGTCGACTCATAGTGGTATTAAAAGTATCTCAAACACACCAGGGTATTGTTTAAAAAAAATCCAAAAAAACATAAAATTGTTATCACAGGGGGGGGGGGGGGGTATCACAGGAAAGAAATGAAGAGATATTCACCAGGCTGAAGGAAGAGACATGGATGATTTTTGTTTAGGTGACAGGAAAAGGTAGGCATGTGGGGGCAGGCTTGTTGTGGCCCCTTGGTGCTGCAGGCTGTAGAGACCATGCACAGTTCTGCATGAATTTTGCTCCTAACTCAGCACATTTTGGGTCTGAATACAATTACAGGTGGAATCCCGATAATTCCCCCCCCGATTTCTGTCAATACGATTCTCACATAAAATTTTCTGATAATTCTAACCTCGAACCGGACATGTCCGGTTAATTCAAAGTTCCATGGCTTCCACTTACATAGAAAATGTGTGGGATTTGTGCTGATAATTCGAAGTTAGCAAAGTGTAATTCGAAGTTCACTGTACACTGTACTGGTCAGTTCAGTTTGCATGAGCAGGCTGTGCTGACCAGTTCAGTATCCGTGAAATCTGTGTCTAAGGTCCATAGCGCAACTCTGCGTGACCATGAGAGCATTTTGACACACATATTGTGTTGTGGGTTCATGTTTGGATAATTAGAATGTCCGGATAATTAGAAGCTTTTCCTGGATTTGGAGGTTCGAATTATCAGGATTCCACCTGTACTGGCATACTCTGGCGCTACACACTACAAGGGATGTCGTCCAGGTTCTCCTCGCTATCACCATTACGACTCTAACTGGAGGTGATTTCTTCACCATTTTCCGCAGCAGCAGCTAGCGCAGAAAGTTCGCCATCTCTGAGTGTAGGAGATGGAATCGGCTCAATCCGGTCAAAAACTCTTCGTTGTGACTAAAGGAGTATCAGGGAATATTCTACTGGAAGCCCTTTGACTTCCCTGACTGCTGAAATCCTTCCTGCCACTACTGCTACTTCTTCAAACCAGCGAGATTCTCTTTGGTTCCACTTCACTGCCATCGAGCGTCCACGCGACACAACCTTTTTTTACAAAACATCATTTTTTCTCCAAAAAAATGATTTTCACCCTAAGCCTGGTTTTCGCAGAAGTTGGGGCATACATCACTGGAAAGCTGAGCTCAATATCTTTCCAACAGTATATCGTGTGTGAAAATCGGCCGCAGTTGACATGAGTCACGACAGTTTGTACAGTGATATATGCACTTTGTACTATTGCATGGGCCGTGGAGCGAGATATCTCCTCATCCACCCCTCAGACATACTTTATAGAGTGAGATATCTCGTCATTAGCACTGAAAGGGTTAAAACATTTGATACATACCATCATGCCATCATCAAGTATTTATCCTCCAGTCTATTCTCTTCTCGTCAGATGTGATTGTGTTCCTCTGTTGAGCCTGTAACAGTGTGTGTGTGTGTGTGTGTGTGTGTGTGTGTGTGTGTGTGTGTGTGTGTGTGACTGTGTGTGTGTATGTGTGTGTGTGTTTGTGTGTGTGTGGGTGTGCGTGTGTGTATTTGTGTGTGTGTGTGTGTGTGTGTGTGTGTGTGTGTGTGTGACTGACTGTGTGACTGTGTGTGTGTGTGTGTGTGTGTATGTGTGTGTGTGTGCATTTCGCCTCGTTATTCATTTAGGTGAGTATTTGTCGCAAGGCCGGTGCAGCTCCACCTGCAAAGGCTACGTTACCAGCAATACTGCAGAAATCCGACTGGTCGGCGGTAATGGCAGCTATGGCCTAGTCGAGACTTACGATGGGACAAGATGGTATGGAATTTGCGAAAGACGTTTGAGTATGGCTGGTGCCCACGTCGTGTGTCGGGAGCTGGGCTTCGGGCCAGCCATTGCCGACCCGTTCGAATGGCAGAAAAGCCAGGCGACTGGTTCCTTTCCCGTGAATATTAACGCCACTGTTCCCCATGGGAAAAACATCAATTATTACTGTCATGGTTCTGAAAAGTTCCTCCATCAGTGTGGGCGGTCTGTTGCATTAGGATCGGTTAATTGTGAGCCACATCTTTTTCTTGGTGTAGCGTGCTCCCGAGCTCCGGCATCTCAGAAATGTGTGTCCACCTGCGACTTGTTGAATGGTTTCACTGTTCCTGTGTCTGCACCGCACACCTGTGTGAGGTGTGCCGTGTCCCATGGCGTGTGCAAGCGATGCAGCCGACGGGATCCCAGCATTTGCGAGGAATGCTATGGGGGAAGGTTCTTTTCTTATTTTGCTGGCTGCGTGCTCAAATGCGATCCCAAGTACGAGTTTGGTAACACCGTTACTGGCCGCTGTGAGTTGTGCAACTCGAAGTGTGCAGGATGTTACGACAGTACACGAGATGACAACTGCATTCGCTGCGCTAAGGGATTTGTCCTGGACGGCACACGGTGTGTATCGACATGCCCCTCCGGTCAGCTTGCCATGCACATGGAGGTGTGCACTGCGGTCAGTGCTGTAGCATGTGATGCTAGTGAAACGTGCGACGAGCAAGCAGGCTGTTTCAATACCAGCAGTGTGGCAGGCATTAAGTCAGCCTGTTGGCCATGCCCTGCTGGCTCGGCAGGAAATGGAAAAGAATGTAAAGGTAAGCTTTGTTTGCTCCTGCGGTTAGTGCTGCTGCTGTTGTTTCTGTTGCTGCTACTGAAATGTGCTTTATTGAAGACAAAAAGCAATGCTGCCGCTGCTGCAGCTGCTGTCATTGTTGCAGTTGTTACTGCTGTTGGTGTTGCTGATGCTGCTATTGTTCTTTCAAATCTTTATTCTCACGATGACCTGTGGCCGATAGGTTTCTATTATCGCACGCTTAAAGAGATATTGACCGAATAGTATGTCATAATGTACACAAGCTTCACTGCAGCCACTTCATTAAATGGGAAACCTTACACACACATCGTCTTCAATCCAAGTCGTCTCTTCGCTGCAAAATACAATAATTCTCAATCAAATTTTCGGCGAGGGCCCTCATCTTGGGTTTCCCGGAAAATATGTGTGCAATAATCGATTTTATAATAGCAATAAAGAGATCAAATTCTGCTGTCATCGCCACACAGTGACACTACAACGAAGTAATGAAAATAACTTGGTGGATAATACAAGTAACTTGGTGGATCGAGCAAAGCGTATTTGCTCCTCTTCCAAACTAGCTGAGGAGCTGGACTTCCTAAGGTCAGTTGCCTGGCTTTGGCTCTTGCTTCTCGGTGAGCAGCACGTAGTGTATCATCTGCACGATTTCGCACAAGGCGATGGTAAAGCCGGTTTCGCTCTCGAACACATGCCACAAGTTCATCTGTGAGCCAAGGGCAAGGACGACGTTCCTTACGGCGGTGCAAAGTGATCAGAGTATGCTTATTTAGAGTACAATGAAACGTGTCTACAGTCCATTTCAAAACTATAGACGCGTACCTAGGCAAAAACCGTTATGCCAGCATCTATACCACATAAAATCTGTGATCACTTTGTGCATAAAATTTTCCAAATTGGGCGTCTGTTATCCAATCCTTTAGAAACTATATGAGAGTAATTGTGGAGCGATCCTGAGCAATATTCCGAAAACTATTCTCAAAAAGTTCCAGCCAAATTTGAAATATTTCAAAAACCCTACGCGTCTATAGTTTTGAATTGCACTGTAACACGACCGCTCAAGGGTCCTTCAAAATGTGGTCTCTGTCACCTTGGTGGTCGCCTTATTTATTTATTTATTTATTCAACATCTTATGGCTTCCGATGGCAGCCAAACCGGGAAGATGTGGGTGATAGCCAACCATGGTAAAAAGAAGGAGAAGATTATATACATGAAAAGGAAACAGTCGAAAAGCTATATTGATTAGATTTTTTTATTATTATTATGGTGCACTCAGTCATCAGCAGGCCCTCAGATTCACTTTAAATTCTTTCAATGATGCAGAAGTCTTCACTGAGTCGGGAAGTTGTAGCCACGCACAGTAGCCCTGGAAGAATGGCGATCTTGTGAATTGTGTTGACTTGGCCTTGGGAAGAGACACTTTGTTTCTGGTTGAGCGGCCCGAAAAAAACCAGTTATAAGGGTTTATATGTTCAGGAACACAACCCAAGAGCATTCGATGAACCAATATACAGAGGCAAGTTAGTCGGCGTTGCTCTAACAAAGTAGTCTGAGCTAATAAGTACAACTCATTGGAGGGAAAGGAAGGTTTCTTCAAGAACAATTTTTTTAGAACTTTCTTATGATGAACTTCAATGGAATCGGACAAGTAAGACCTTAGCTAGGCCACACCAGGCTGTGGCAACATATTCAAACAATTTAAGGAGATAATTTTGATATATGAGCCGCAATCAGCGAAAACGACCCTTAGAGGTTTCGTAATTTTTTCAAGAAAAAGGTCGATTTGTGACGTTCAACGATTTTTTGATCGCGCTGCGAACAGCGCGACGAGTTCTTCTTGAACTCCTTGCTTGAATTTATTTGAAGTTAGTTAGTTGAAGTGTTGTCGAGTGGCGACTCGAGTGTTCCTTGATCTTGTTGCGATGCCTGCGGACGCCAGAGCTGTTCACAGAGCACACGCAGAAGGCATTGTGTACAGCTAGCTCGAGCCTGGTGGGGAGTGGATGCTGAAGTAGCCGCTGAAGTTCAGAGTGAGGATGAAACGTTCTTTGGTTCCGACATCGATGTCAACAGCAAGGCCGAATCGCAGCCGTCATCTCCTGCTGCGTTGCGGCTCAAGGTGGTCGATGACTCGGAAGATGAGGAGTCATCACCTGAGATAAATTCTAAGTCTGGGGCCAGTGACGGCAGCGACGTCGTGTCGTCAGCTGCGGAGGATGCAGCTGCAAAATAATAAGTCGATCATGTCTCCGCACTCTTCAGCTATTCTTTGTCATTCTAGCTGCTTACTGCACTATTTGAAAGGTATTACAGCTGCCTACCCACCTTCGAATGCTGAATATTTATTGTACACATACATCGTATACATACATTGCACCAATTTGGAGTACACCTTGTGAATTGGTGTATACACCCGTTTTGAATCGGAATATTGAACTTTTTCTTGGCTGAGGTCCTTCAGTAGATGTGTTTCGACAAATTTCTAACCAAAAAGGAATTTTGAAAAATTTCACCCTAAGGGCTGTTGTTGCTGGTTGAGGCCCATATAGCTGAACCGCACGGAATAGAGAGATGTATACAATGACTTTTAATATAGCCAAGAGCACGGCTGACTTTATTACAAAATGTAATCTACATGAGCCGACCAGGACATGGATGAATCGAACATTACCCCGAGGTGTTTGTGCTCCTTTACCGTCTGAATTTCTGTGGGTGAATTGGGAAAGGTGAACTTAAACATTGAGGCAGAATCTGTTAGAAAGAGTACTCTGGTGTTTGAAACGTTTGCCTGAAGCCTCCAACTGGACATCCTGGTGACAATCATATTTATCACGTCTTGCAACTCTGACTCAAGCTGTTTGACAGTTTTACAGTGGCGCAAAGCAGCTGTATCGTCAGCAAACAATGACATTCCAGAAACATGACTTGGTAGATCATTAACATACAAAACAGAAGCAATGGTCCAAGAATTGAACCCTGAGGCACCCCCGACAGCACGGGTAGCTTTGGGGAGTCTGCTCCCGACACTGACACATACTGGCTTCTCCCAGAAAGATAGCTCTCTATCCACTTCAACGGTGTGTCAGACATGTTAAAGATGACTTGAAGCTTCCTCAAGAGACCTCTATGCCACACTGTGTAAAACGCCTTGGCAAGATCGAAGAAGCAAATGCCCGTGTACAACTTTTCTGCTCTTGCTCCGATAATGTCCTGTACAAGGCGAGTCTCCTGCAGTGAAGTCGAGTCTCCACGACGAAAGCCAGACTGAGCAGGGTGAATGGCAGGGGCAACATGGCTATACAACTGATCATAACATATTCGTTCACATAATTTTGAAATGCATGATAAGAGAGAGATTGGCCTGTAATTTCCAGGAGTAGCTTTACCACCTTTGCCCTTAAATATTGGCGTTATTTTGGCCACTTTCCATGCCGATGGAACCTTCCCTTTTCTGAAAGACAAATTAAAAAGAAAACATAGAGGATATGATAATGATGGTGCTAGAGCTTTAACAACTTCATTGGAGATGGCGTCCAAACCAGGCGATTAGTTAAGCTTAAGCTTCGCAATAGCTTTGCGCACTCCAGCTGTGGTTATTATCGGAGAACAAAACGCATTCGGGAGGCAAGGGTGTTGGTCTAAGGACGGCAATGGTATGTGTGGGTCGTCAACAACCGCCACTGATGCAAATTGCTCGTTCAAAGCTGAAGCTTTAGCTGCAGGGTCTGCTACCAACTTTCCATTTGATGCGAGGTCAGGTATCCCAGGGCTATTTCCCGAAGATCTCTGCATGCGAATGAATTGATGCAATGAAGGGTGATTACTGGTATCGGAAATCAGGACCTGCAGCTTTCGGATATACTCCCGGTGACATTTCCGGGACAGCGACCTCACAATATTTCGTTGCTTTTTATACAGATATATGTTGACAGGACTTGGGTACTTCCTACTCCGACTGTGAAGTTCCGCCTTGTGACGGATAGCACCTTTCAATTCCACATTAATCCAGGGCGGAAGTTGTTTTGACAGGCGTGATCTCCCTGTATCCCTGATGGAGCAACGCTCATAGTGCTGGACACTAATGTGCTGCGTAAAGATGCGGTCTAGAACAGTCTGAATATTTGCAAGTGATTCGTCCACATCTGACAAAACAACCGTATGCCAGGCAACTGCCGCTAGATCATCATTAATACCCGCCCACGTGGTAGGTGTCACTCTCTTAAAATTGTACTTACAGGCAGAAGATGACTGCACCCAATCCCTGGATGAAGCACAATAGGGAAGCGGGTCCATGGGGATATCAAACTGGCATGAAACGAGGAGGTGATCCGATGCACCCAGAGCACAGGCTGTGTCTACGGACGACACTAGTTGGCTACGATTGCTGAAGATGAGGTCCAAGCATGCCTGGTTGCCTGAAGGTGCGGTGTGCGTGTTTGTGGCGACCAGTTGTTGAAGACCAAAGCAACCAAACTCTCGTTGTATTGCAGCACCAGCAGGGCATGTATGGTCTGTTGAGCACCAGAGGCTGTTTTTTTCCATTCAAATCTCCAGCGATGATGACGTGAGAAGACGATACAGGAATCATCCTGAGAGAATCACCAATCATGTCGCAGTAGCGAGTTATGTCCAAGCTCCTGGTTGAAGGCGGTCGATACGTACAGCAAACGACAATTGGTTCAGTACGGCTTGACCTGGGGGTGAGCTGGACACATACAGCCTCACACATAGGACGGAGTAGATCCGGGCGATATCGTATGGATCTAAAACGGTGTTCTAGAACAAGGATTGCAACACCACCGTATGCCCGGGAGGTGGTGCCAGACTTGTTCTCACAAGGCGGTCTGTCTCGCCGATAGGTTAGGTATCCCGGAATACAGAAAGGTATAGTAGGCTCTAGCCAAGTTTCAGTTAAGCAAATCACATCAGGGTGGTGTTATTCGACGATTACGGACAATTCAGCATTTTTATCGACAATTGAACGGCAGTTTGTTGTATACAATAGGAGCTTCTCGAAGCCAGTCTCCTTCACTTGCTTGGCTGGATGACGCAGAGGAGCATACGGCCTGGCATTGGGGTTAAGGTTAGAACAGACACGGGATTCGGGGAAGAAGAAGAATGGAGCTGCATGTGGGTTCAACGAAGCCACGGAAGGAGAGAGCAGTCACTGAGCAGCGATGTCCGCAGACACCCCCACCCCGTCACTGAACCCCCATGGCTGAACAGCATGCTGAATAGTCTCCGGCCAGAAAGAGTCACCCATCACCCGATTGGTGGTCTCCTCAGGTACGGTTAGTCTTGCGTAGGAGGTGCCAAAGTACCGCGATGTGGCTACGGAGCATGCAAGTATCTCTACATCTCGCTCTTTACACCAGTTGACAATAGATGCCGCCTCACAGCCAGGAGTGATATTGTCGATGAAGAAAACCTTCCTCCGGGTTCGCACAGCTCCGGTTAGCACGTTCGGAGAGGTATTAACGGGTGTGGGCTTTTGATAGGCAGAAGTGACAGTCCTGGTCAGGGCCTCATTACGGGTCGTTGAAGCGGCAGCAGTCGGGGCTGTGTCAAACTTGTTGCGATGTCGCCGCCAATTGACATACCGCCAACCGGAAGCAATAGAACTACCGGCCCCAGGACCAGTGCGAACAGAGTCAGGATGAGCAGATGCAGCAGCAGCAGCACAAGAACCCACCGTCCCCTGCAGAACAGCGCTATATGGAGGGTGAACTCGAGAGCGGGACTCCGCTGGCAGAGGCCTAGAAGTGGCTGGGGGTGGTGTGGAAGCAGGCTCCTGCGCATGAATACGAGATTCAGACTCTGAGGCGTAAACGTCTTCCTTGAGAGATCCAAGTGAAGCGAGACGGAGAGCCTCTACTTCACTCTCGAGGTGTATGACTCGTGAGTGCAGACTTGCTACAACAGAAGCCTCCCGTCGCCTATCAGCTCTCATAGCCGCCAGCTCAGCTGAAACGCAACCCACAGCATGCACCAATTCATCAAATTTGCCCGTGCCGACGCTATCAAGACCAGACCTATCCGGGGTTAATTGACTGGAAATAATAGCATCTCTTGGTCCTGGTTGCAATGGTCTTCTAGGACAGGTGGTCGCCTTATTCGAGTGGTCGCCTTGACAGGTTTTACTGTAGTAACAATGGCATCTGCCTTGCTACCTGGCTGGAGGACATTGGCCTGCTCCTCGATACTTCCAAGACACAATTTCTCTTCATCCGGCCACGAGGCGTGGCTGCAATGCAACCGGAGGTCTTCTGCAATGGCGAGAAACTTTGTGTGACCCCTACAGCCCAGTACCTCGGTTTAGTCCTGGATAATGATTTATCCTGGGCTCCACATGTGGAGTATATTGGTTGCAAGACAGCGCGAACAATTGGTCAGCTCTGGAGGCATGGGCGAGGACTGAGTTTGCTTGCCCGACGAACGTGGTTCTTGAGCATGATCCTTTCCCAGCTGTGTTATGGTTCAGATAGTTTCTTTCCAGGACTTAGCGCACACCTGCTTGGTCAGCTTGAAAAGATGTTCAAGGCTGGCATCCGTGCCACCTTGCAACAGCGGCTCTTGACTCCAACTGCCCCGCTGCTCTCTCTGCTCAGCATTGTTAGTCTACCACATACATATACACACAAAATTGTCGTATTTGTTCATCGATGCATTAACTCCTCCTGTAGCCCCCTTCTTCAACAATTGTTCACCCGAACGGCCCCAGAGACTGTTCCGGAGGATCAGCGCACCACACGGGGACAAGTGTCGAACTTGCTTCAAGTTCCCTTTCTTCATGGGCCTGCGGGACGATCGACCATGATGTGTCGGGGAAGCATTCTCTGGAACGCTCTCCCCTCTGATTTTAGAGTGATAGGTGTCCCTGGTCCCTTCCAAAAAGCTCTTTCTGCCATTGATATACTTACCTTGTGAATATCCTCGTTATACCTTCATTATCTGCCATAAACTCCAACCTTCTCCTCTATCAATCATTTGTGCATGCATGTCTATAAAATCAACCATGTATTCCTGACTCCATGAAATTGTCTTTCTATTCTTTGACTCCATGAAATTATTGTCTTTCTATTTCTTACTCCATGAAATTGTCTTCATATAATTTTTTCCTTTTCTTCTTTTGCTCCTTTCTGTCTTATATTATTATCATTTCTTGTTTTCCCTTGCATATCATCCCTTCATCATTCTGTGAGAACCTGTCCTATGAGCAGGTGAGAAGGCATCTCTGCCTGGTCATTTGGTGAAGTAAAATAAACAACAATATCTGTGACAGAGCATGCCATTGTAGCACTTACACTCTTCGAGTAATAGGCACTCGCCATGTTTTTTGGCCGCACACACTGACAGCTGCCACATTCTTCTAACGCTACCATTCTCAAATTCACCATACAAGTTCAAACTATATGCGCTTTGCATAACCGTGGGCTGCAACATTCTCACGCTCCTTGTCCTAGTATTCTAGCTATTCAACTGGTTGTTTTAGTGATTCATACTATATGACGATGTTCCAACGATGATAGCCGCAAGAAAACGTTCCGGAAATTTTCATTTTAATAATTATTGTTTCATACATTAAAATGTTGAGTCACCTCCGCCATTACAGTGCACTCTTTAGCCGACTAGACCATCCTGCACACAACCATCACCACCTCGAGGACACTTACGTAGACGATATTGATAACTCCTTCAGGCAGCTGTTTCGCTAATGCATAGCTCATCAGTGAAGGTAGATATTGAAAAATTAAATATAGACCAAACTGCTATTATATAGGGTTTTACATACAAAACTGGCATAGCTGAGGTGATAACGCGGGAAATGGAAAGTGTGAAGTTCTGTTGACGCGCATGGAACATGCATGCAGCGTCAGAAATTCGGCGCGGAAAATCTATCATTATGACTATCATGGTTGATAAATATGGTGATAAAGACGCACCTGGCAATATGGCGGTAAACACACGCCTGCCCAAACACGCTCTCTAAGCTGCAAACCATGCATCGACTAGGCGCCAGGCGCGAACTGATGATGGTGGTGATGAGAAGGAGAGCTCTGTGCCAGAACTTTGCAGCTTAGAGAGCGCGTGTGGGCAGGCGTGTGTTTACCGCCATATTGCCAGGTGTGTCTTTACCACTATATTTATCAACCGTAAGTACAGCTGCAGTGGTATCTTCAACTTCATTCTCCCGAGTCAAGCTCCGTATGAAGACATCCAACAAGATGATTGCCTGATGAGTCCAGCGGGGACGAAACGTACGTCGCAATCGAGCTATGTCGTTGCTGTGTCATCTTTTATGTGCCATGCGCTACTTCATGTACCAGCCTGCTATGTCGGATACCGCCAAACATGCATCGACTAAGTGCCAGGCGCGAACTAATGGTGAGGGTGGTGAGAAGGAGAGCTCTGTGCCAGAACTTTGCAGCTTAGAGCGCATGTGTGGGCAGGCGTGTGTTTATCGCCATATTGCCAGGTGTGTCGTTACCACCATATTTATCAACCATAAGGACAGCTGCAGTGGTGTCTTCAACTTCATTCTCATATGACTATTAATGCCAAAACTAATGTGCCAGAAGCAGTGTGCTGTGTAGCTAATAGTAATAAGAGTCTGTGTATTGCACTTGTCCGAACGCCATGAAGGCCTGCAAACACACCTCACGACCTGCCGACGTCGCCGGCCACAGCAGCACCTGGGGCATGACACTGGGCAGTAACTAGGCTTCATGTCACCAATGTTGTCCGCAAGCTACCTAGTCGTCATGTGTCCATCACCCACTGCCGCTGATGCGCTGGGAGGCCCCGCGACATTCGCCCAGTGGATCGTCGTCAGAGCTGTGTCGACGGTACAATAGCGCTGGCAGAAACAAACAGTTGGTGGTATGATATTGTGTCCTCATGATTGTCCCTTGACTCGTCTTGTCCCTCTTCTTGCTGTGACGCTAATGGCGCACGTATCATATTATTCCAGTCACCTCCACCATTACACTGTCCCTCCGCTACGCGTAGAGTGCCATTTCAGCTGTCTCCTAGCAACAAGACCCTAAAAATGAGGACCAAACGTGTCAATAATATAGTATCGGTTCACTTATGGTAGACGGGTAAAGGGTTAAAGTATTCACTGGTCGAGGGAATGGAGGAGGGAAAGTCCGAAGAATAGATTCAATGTCATCACCAGGACTCGAACCAGCGGTGACCTCCGCTTGAGGCCGGCGAGAATTATGTTCTCCCTGATATCATACCTACGCAATGTGAAGCATATAAACAATGGCGAAGATCATCCCCTGCTGCCTAGGCAAGTGTGAGACCGCCAAGATGAGTTTTGATTCGATGCACATTTGTCTATGTTGTTGTGAGTTGAGGTGCATTCGGCTGAAAAAGGGTCTGTTTGATGTAGATGCTTATTTGTCCATGTGGTTGTGTGTGTAGCAGTGCATTCGGCTGAAAACCGGTCTGTTTGGTGCCGATGTCCATTTGTCTATGTGGTTGTGAATTGCAGTGTATTCTGCCCGAGGGCACAAGCTGGTCGCAATGCCACGTAATCAAACCGCACTGGTTGGACAGAGCGTGGTAGTGGAACTGGTTTGCCGTGCAAATATGACAACAACTACCTACTGGTAGGTTTCCGCATATATTATAGTGACCCAGTGATGCAAAGGAATATTCTAGAACACCAAAAATAGAAATAATATTCAAAGGCAGGCAGGATATTCGAATATTCTATTACACGAGAATTCGGGCTGCTTTGCTGTATTATGCAACTCTGACTATGATCTGCTCCGTAGTGTTGAGGATGCGAGGGAAGAAATTCCTGTAAAACATGTAATTTTAGGTTTAGGTAGGGGGGGGGGGAGTAATTTTAGGTTTTCTGATGATCGCTTAGTGCGTGAAACTCCTAGTTTTAAAACACTTTCCGTCCTCTTATTGTTTGAACTAGCTCTGCCTCTCGGTATTGAGCACTCTCTTGGACAGCCTGGAACCTTTCTGTTTTTAGGCATGTTAAAGTGCGGCTTACACACTGGTAGATATAGGGGCCCAAGGACAAACGGGAAACGGATGATATATTCGGGGTAAAAGGAGTATATCGAATACTCGATCGAACATCTGAAATGGGTGAGTACTCGTTTCGCAAAATCCTTGAAGTAACCTACGTACACAGTGTAATGTATGCATGTACATTGAGCAGTTCTGTTACTCTGACCGGTACTCAGAGCCCATACAAGCGCCACATTTTTGCTTGTCCCTTCTAACCAGCAAAAGACAGTTTTTTTCTATTTTTATTTTTTACAAAATAGCCACAAACCATCATGTTGCAAACGCCGGCAAAAACGCACAGAGATGCACATAGGGATGGCAGCCGAAGCAGTGTGGTTGTTCAGACTATCTCCTACACTAGGCTGCATGCAAGACTACATGTGTATCGGGTGTACTACGTCCCGGTATTACGGGAGTGTGTGCAGTGCATTGTTCTATGTTGTCAGTAAAATACTTGTACTCGCTCGAATGCTCGCTCGTATTTTCAAGGAGTGCTCAAGTCCTCGATTTTGCCACTCGTTTCACGTACTGGCAAGAGTACATGAAATCAAGAGTGTGCAGCTTCTGATCTTCTCTGCATGGGTGTCTGCCATGGCAAAATTCCAGGCTTACATCATAGTTGATGGAGATGTGCGGCGTTAGTTGAGCGGCGTAGTGGACACAAATTAGCTGCAGTTGTGAAGGTGGATATTGTATATAGCAGGAACATTTCGGGGGAATATATTTTCGTTCGATTTCGTACACGGCCTCTTTTGTACTAAAATTTATTTCGTACTAAAATTTGTTCATGTGAAAGTATGTACATATGTACACTATAAGACTATGACTATGCCTGTAGCTGCAGAAAAAGTGCTCAACATCCAATTTCTTGGGGGGAGCAATGACACATGTCAACAAACAATGGATCACTCGTAATATTTCGCTACTCCGAGTTTCATGCACTGTGTGCAATCATCAGGCAAACAATATTCAATGCAGACTGGTCAAAGCATAATGGGAATTTAAGGTGGATGCAGGCGGAAGCAAGTGTAAGGCTTAGCGGGACCCCTGATACGTAATCAATGGGCTAACTTGCCGGCTGAGAAGTGTGTGAAGCTGAGTGCTAGATGACTATAGCATAGTGGGGCAGTGCAATTTGCCAAGGCGCTAGCTGTTGGATGCCTGTACTACAGCAGAGCCAATTTGCAGTGGGGGGGGGGGGGGGGGGTGCTAGCTGTTGGATGCCTGTATTACAGCAGAGCCAACTTGCCAAGGCGCTATCTGTTGGATGCCTGTACTACAGCAGAGCCAATTAAGTCCGACGAGTTACAGTTAGGTGCAATGGCGGCACTTGCCTCTTTGGTGGTGTTAGGATTCAGGTGTTGGGTGCTGGATGCCTGTACTACAGCAGAGCCAGTGAAGTCTGAGGAGTTACAGCTGGGTGCGATGGTTGCACTAGTCTTTCAGGTGTGAAGATTCAGGTGCGTGCTGGATGCCTGTACTACAGCAGAGCCAGTGCCACACCAGGACATGCCTTGCTTAGCAAAGCATACTGGATGCCTGTACTACAGCAGAGCCAGTATGCGCTATTTGGCTAAGTCACACCTGAATACTTGCTCAGCTGGTATCTAGTGCTGTGCCGGCATTTGGCGATGAGGTCACACCTTGTGTTCAGGAGGGTTGCTTTGTCGGCCGTGATAATTTCTAGCTTCTCTGTTAGACAGAGGTTACAGCGCTTAGTTGTTGGGCTGTACGACTTGGCTCTGCGCTTGACGTTCCATGACACGTTGTACTCCTGACCCTGGTTTTTGAGCGACCAAACGTAGCTTGACAGCTCGGTGGAGTTGCGGTATTTTTCGTCATCGCACCCAGCTGTAACTCCTCAGACTTCACTGGCTCTGCTGTAGTACAGGCATCCAGCACCCAACACCTGAATCCTAACACCACCAAAGAGGCAAGTGCCGCCATTGCACCTAACTGTAACTCGTCGGACTTAATAATGTAGTACAGGCATCCAACAGATAGCGCCTTGGCAAGTTGGCTCTGCTGTAATACAGGCATCCAACAGCTAGCACCCCCCCCCCCCCCCCCCCACTGCAAATTGGCTCTGCTGTAGTACAGGCATCCAACAGCTAGCGCCTTGGCAAATTGCACTGCCCCACTATGCTATAGTCATCTAGCACTCAGCTTCACACACTTCTCAGCCGGCAAGTTAGCCCATTGATTACGTATCAGGGGTCCCGCTAAGCCTTACACTTGCTTCCGCCTGCATCCACCTTAAATTTCCATTATGCTTTGACCAGTCTGCATTGAATATTGTTTGCCTGATGATTGCACACAGTGCATGAAACTCGGAGTAGCGAAATATTACGAGTGATCCATTGTTTGTTGACATATGTACACTATACATGCGTACTGCATGCGAACACGTGCATTTAGCATGTAGCACTGTACGAAAATAAAATCCGCACGAAAGGTCAAAATTTGACTTTGTCCGAAAATACTTCCGTCCGAAAATTTCCTGCTATACAGTACATGATTGAATCCTGGTTGTACACATTACTCCACTGATCTGATGCCATCCTGGAATTTCGTTGTGACAGCAACTCGTCCAAGCTGCACATTTCCATGCCTCGTCATTTCATACTCATAAGGGATGATCGGCGCACCAAGGCGCCATTTGCATGCCCATTATGTGTCCAAAGCTAGCTGAACTTTATGAAAGCCCATAGTTGTACTTATTATAGGACCAAAATGGGCTTTTGCATCTCTAGAATTGCTACATAGAAAGCTGTCGAGTTGATTTGAGTTTATACGAAGCACAGAATTTTATTTGCTCCAAATTTCTCTGCACACACAACAATCCTGAACACGGACCAGACATACAATACGTATATTGAAGTACAGGGATCGATTTATCCGGGTTCGCATCGCAGTTTGCGAATCAAAATTCACTGGCTGCGATTCGCTTTTCGTTTTTTATCGCCCAAAACTGCGATGCACTACAAAGACCAGTTGTGTGCAGTGACTGCAGTCTACATGCGACTGTTGTACACACTGCTGACTAGGGAGTAGTATTTTACTACTCCAACCAACTGGCCTGTCCTGCTCAGTCCGCGCGCGGGTCGTGGATCGCGCTCTTTCGATTTTGGACACTGCACTAGCAATGGTCGTATACGACTGCAGTCTTCTGAAGTTTTGTACACGGCGGTGACTTTTCCTGATGTTCTCCTTTCTTCTTTCACTTTCAAGCTCAGTTTGTTTCTGTTCGACAAGGCACAGTTGAAGTAGACGGTTCTTAGTCTCATGTAGCCAACATGTCAGTGAATCTGATCAGTGATTCACTGTCCAGAAGAGGGAGAAAGAACTGGACGCGCCAGGAATGTCGATTCATTTCGATGAAGAAAAGGAGAAAAGCGAAATTCGATGCGCTTTGCACGAAATGTCACGATCGTTTGAGCGCTTTCCTGAGGTTTCTTTGTCGAAGGAATCAGTGAAACTGCCCTGTTGAAGGACATTGTGTTGTGAAGAACTCAAAGTCGGATGGACGCTGAACATGTAACGTGCCTAAGCGAAAACTCTAACGTAAATATTCAGATCGAACATTCGCTTGGAAAAGCGAATAGCAACTGCAGCTATTGTCCTCTTCTGTATGAAATCCTGCTAGTGTCAGCTATACATGTAAACTTTTGATGAAGGAAAACTGCTAATCAATACTGGGAGTTGCTAGTCAATTGTAAAACTGTGTAGCAGTGACTGCTAATCACAAAATTCAAAGTAAATCGATCCCTGAAGTATATTTGCAATTCAACTCAAATAGAAAAATATTGACCAGACTCTGTTTTTAAGAAATAGCTGATTTATGAGTTTCCTATGCACAAGGAAAAATATCCTCGTTCTAAATAGCGATTGGCAGTTTGGGCCTAACTGCTAGTCTCCAAGTAGCCCTTAGGCTAACCTGCCGTGAAAAATCAAGCCGTCAGGCGCTCTCTGTCACAAAGAGTATCAACTCTGCGCAGGTGTTATAAGGTGGCACACTCCCTACATCGCTTAACTAGCAACTAGCTTATCCACTGAGAAGTTCCGCCAATATCGATCTGTCGCAGGTTCCTGCTTTCCGGCGTGTTTTTCTTGGAGACTTAGGTGGTTTTTTAAAAGATGCGTTGTACACAGCCATTGCTTTTGAACTTTCCAAAAAAAACTAAAAGAAATTGACGGTTCGCGTGAGAATCCGCTGGAACGCCACCACCTTCCTGGATCAAGGCGCAGATGCAGCTCCTAAGCGGTAAGAGCTGAGTAGATCAGACCCACCACAAAGTGGTCATAGACCGAAGATCCCCTTCACTGCACTGAACTTGCCATAGTGAGTGTGAAGTTGTTGCGGCTAAACCAGAGGAAAACTTCATTATGCAATAAGGTCAGTACACCAAGCGTTCAGGCCATGACCCGAAGATCAGCTTTGCACACTGCTGGGCCAAAGGACTCTTACTGCCATGCATTGAACGTAAAACTCTACACCATTGGGTTTACCTACCATTGTTCGGAGCAGACTATGAACGCATTACCCTTCGAGCCATGGTATTCTCTTGTTGTTGTTGTTTATTTTACTTCACCAAATGAACAGGCAGAGATGCCTTCTCACCTGCCCATAGGACAGGTTCTCACAGAATGATGAAGGGATGATATGCAAGGGAAAACAAGAAATGATAATAATATAAGACAGAAAGGACCAAAAGAAGAAAAGGAAAAATTATATGAAGACAATTTCATGGAGTCAGAAATAGAAAGACAATAATTTTACAGCGTTGCAGACAAATTTGTCTTTTAGCCGTTCACCTTTTTTACAGGCGCACGTATAGGTGTGATAAACTGTGACTTTGCCGGTGATGTAGATTGTGTTTGATGTTGTATGATTGATAACATGTCCATTTCTATGCTATTCAGGTTCCATGAAGGCCGAAGGCTGCAACTGCGGCCACAGGTTTTGACAGAAAAGCACCAACTTTTCCAAAAGTCCCACTATGTAATGGGTACGAATGGATCTCTATTCCTGACTCGCATCACCCTATCAATGGGGGGAACATACACCTGTGTCTCCCAAACCACCCAACTTCAACTATCCGTTAGTGCCTATGTTACTGTTCTAGACCCCTGTAAGTCCTGCTTCGCCTCTCACCCATTGCTAGCACCATAGTTGATAATTCTACAGTGCTTGTCCTCAGCATGTGGCAAATGGGATTTAGGCCTTTGGCCTATGGTTGGTGGATCTGATCTATCCTCCCCCACCGTTTAGGAGCCGCATCTGACGCCTGATCATGGGGTGGTGGCGTCCCACGGAAGCGGAAAGGTGGTTCTTGACCAGGGAGTTTTACGACTCCTTGTTCTTGACCTGCCACGTACGCGAACCTGTCGAATTTTTTGTTTATGTTGTCCTCAGTACACTTATGGCGCAGAGCAGTGTCATCTTGCGCCTCTTCTCTGTGTGTTAGCACTTACAGTACATTTATCGGAAACAGTCCCGCTGGCTTTTGAAAGTCCGATTTGGGTCGAATTGACGATCAAAAACCCACTTTAAATCTCAAAAAATCTGGGTTTGGGATCTGCTTCTCCATACATTTTGCCATGGCATATCCGTTCTAATTTTGTAAAAACCTGGCTGAATTTCTATTTCCCTGTTCTTCGATTTTTCTGGCCTCAGATGTGGCAAGGAGCAATTGCACGGGTCACACAATACAGGATGTCCTGTTGTTTTCACGGTATCTACAACTATGTGCAGGAAACACCAAAAAGTTAGGGTGCCAGTTTCCAATGAATGGACTGTAGTTTGTCTGTCGCCTCAAAGCGCGACATCACGCTTTTCTGTGTACACAGTTTTTTCTCTGTGGGTTTTGAGGTTCATTTCGGCCATAAGCGGATTTTCAAAGCCAGCAGGACTAGCTAGGATGCATGAACTGTAGTGTTCCATGTGTTGGAAAGGAGGACTGAAACAAACCCTCTCAACTATGCGTATTCCATAGAAGGTCTTGAAGGGATCTGTACTCACTGGTCACTCTCTACACCCTGGCTCCCCCCCTTTTTATTTATTATTATTTTTTTTTTTTACTCTATCACATGTGTCATCTTTCCGTTTTCCTTCCTCTATATAAATGTACTCCGCCTCCCCTCCCCCTGTGCCTACTCCTTCCCAGTTTTTGGTGCACTGAAGTGTCGCTGAAGCCGAGACCTCAGGTCGGCGGAGATGCTCCAGTTTCACCACCACAGTTGCGTCTGCAACCACCTCTATCATGCAGTATTCTGTTCTCGAGGTTCTTGGTTTCTCGTACAAAACAAACAAAAAAACTACAAGTACAGTCTACTCTGCCATGTTCTCTATCGCTGTTCTTTGTCAGATGCGTTGAAAATCGCTAGCACACGCCCTGCGGGTGATGTGTCGCTCGCCGAGATGCAGCCCATCTCCCTGACATGCACAATGGAGCACTTCACATTCGTTGACATCTTCTGGCGATACCCAGCCACCGTCTATGACGCAAGCAGACGTGTCATGACCGAGCGGGCAAAGAGTGAGTCCGCTGGAGCCAATATCATGTTTGTCCTCTTGAAGATATCCATAGATTGTTTCAAATCTTTATTCTCATGATGGCCTGTGGATGAAAGAATGTGGTTTACATCACACTTAGGGTTTGTGATGCTTGATAAAGGAATTGCACGATTATCGGTGGGCAAGCTAGGCATACTTGTGTGTGGGGCTCTGTTTTTTTAAATTTGTTCCTTTGTATGTATGCATGGCATGCTGAACTCGCTTTTTACAGTATTTTCTCGTATTTTAACATTTGTTTTACAAACAACAGGTACGTGGTTTACCGGTACAATGCTTTTGTATGTCGGCGAACGACGGCCCTGAGTCGTACATCGGGGAGTCGTTCAAGTCTGGGTTTGCGTGACTCCCTGCCGCAGATCTACTCCGCCGATCAGCACTGTACATGTATATGAACTGTTCGAAAAATCTGACTTCGGCTCAATCTTGGTGCGCGGGGGGGGGGGGGGGCCGGGTATCCTATTTTGTTTTGGTCTCGCCTTAGCGGCGAGCAAACTAGTCGCACGGATGAGCATGGCTCCGTGTTCTTGTGGGTGCTGTTGTTGTTGTGTACGATGTCTGCTTGTGTTGGCGTTGGTGACGTAGCCATCGTGAGATTACTAAAGAATGCCAAGAGTGGATAAACAAGAGTGTGCAACTCCGGATCTCTCCTGCACCATCTATGGATACCCCGCCCGCAGCGGAATTTTTTGTTGATGCCGCCTTTTTTCAGAGAAACGCGCATTTTGCCGCAGAGCAGTGTGAGAGCACGTGCTGGGCACCGACCTTGTAGTGTAAAGCCCGGGTAAGAGCACGAGGGAAACCTCTCCAAAAGACTCGCAGCGCGTGCGTCGTCGAAAAAATTACGTCAACAAAAAATTCCGCCGTGGGCCAACCCATCCGCGAGTTGTACACTCTTGTTTATCTACTCTTGAGAATACAACATTTAAAGCTGTAACTTCTAAAGTAAAACTCACCAGGTCCAGACGTTCCTAATCTGGGTATGTCCGTCTACCGGACACCTTTTAATAAAACAGGCCGCTTAGTGAAGCAGCATAATGATAGATGTGCAAAGTCACGATGCCTGGTCCGCTTTTGTCCTGTGTCCACTACCCCGTGCATTGCAGCCGCGAGCAAAACCAGCTCAGGCTGATAGTTCCCCCCATGATTGCTTGTCCAAAGTGCGTATTCTGAGCCCACTCAGGTCAGTCATGGTCTTCAGTGGCATGTCTCTGACAGCAGCGCTTGCCTTGACTGCTGTGGCTCATCTAGAGAATGTTTAAAAAAAACAGCAGCAAAACATATTGATTGGCATTAAAAAAATCTTTACTGAAATGTAATAATGAAGTAGCGTGCTCTACTGTCCGAAGAGTGCTCAATACCCATATGGGGCTGAGCCTTCCACACAAAAGGGAGAGAGGAAGCTGTGTCGCAACTGTGAGTTTCACGTATTACTACGATCATTCATTTATTTATGTAGAAGAGAAAAGGAAATATGGATACGAGTTAAGAGTAACTCTCCATCACTGTAACATATACAGTCAGAAAGTGCAATAACTAGGCACAAAACTGACAGAGTACTGAGACATTCGACATTCTGACTGTATATAGTATCATGTTACAGTGATGGAGAGTTACTCTTAACTCGTATCCATATTTCCTTTTCTCTTCTACATTTATTTATGGCTCAACATCTTAGTTTCAAATTCATTTATTTATTTATTTATTTCTGTTCCTCGTAGCATGTCGAGACAGCCAATTGAATTTAGAAGAGGATGAGACCAACCACGGAAGAAGAGAAAAAAGAAAAGAAAAGCACGTACACAAAAGGGGCATCAAGCAACGTTTGTGTTGTTTGTGTGTTGCATGAAATAGAGCGGTCATGATGCACGTTATTTCTGACGTGACGCGTAAGTTTAGCTCGCGTGGCTCGTGGCCGTGCGTTGGAAAGCAACATGAGCGACTTGCAGATCACGTCAAACTCGGGAGTTTTACGCCGAATTCGATGTGAAATTGCGTGCCACGTCAGAAATAACGTGCAAATTTTAAACCTTGTTAAAATGTATGTATGTCAAAAGTTGTTGCTGTTGACCTTTATGTTACTTCACCGATTGCACAGGCATAATTGCCTTCTCACCGTCCCATAGGTCCAGCTCTGACAGAAAGATGAAGGAAATTAGATGAGGAAATGTATAGAAATAAAGACCTGCAAGCGGTATAGTTATTACCAAGAGAACATAAACCAGAGTGTGCAACTCGGGATGGTTCCTGTGGGAGCGTAATTCGTGCAGTGCGTCATTTCTGACGGCATGGTAAGCCACAGGTACGGTGAAAAGTTGCGTAACCAGTCGCGGTGGTGCAGGTCACTGAGTTTGTCATGATTTCGGTTTTTTGATACGGATAGCCTGGTGACTGTACTCGTCGGTGGATGTACGCAGCGTACACAGTCATACAAAACACCGAAATCCTGAAACCGGACGTCTAAAATCAAGCAAACTTGGCTGATTTCCGGGCTATGAAACATGAAAATTTGAGCTGTACGCAAGTTGCGGCTTGGCTGACCTCATCAGGGTGAGGTAGTGCACGAACTGCGCTGTTTCAGATCTGATATGCACAGTTGCACACTCTGGTTTATGTATTCTTGTTATTGCTATATACATGATCATATAGTTAATACTGACGGGCAATTTCTAGTCCCGGACGGTGCTCGGTCACAGCCTACCCGGACCTGGGCAGTTTTACTGTATGCGTGTCAGCACTAAAGCCAGGCTTGTGTTCAAAACAGGTTTGTATATTTGTGCGACAGGCGTTTATGCAAGACAGCACAAGACAGTGCAGAACGTAGCTAGTGCAGCGGGCAACAATGTGATCAAAAAATAAATCACCGAATGTGTTGCAAAATCCTTGAAAAACTGCTCAATACCACGAGGGCATAGCCAAGCAACTGAACATACATTATAATTGTATTGCGACCGTGTGTAATGGCAACGGTGCTACTGTCATTCTTCCATTCTTTGTTTTCCTTACCATGCCAGGTCTAACATCATCACTTACTATTCACCACGCAGTCGCCGCAGACAGCGGTGTTTACATTTGTGTAATCAAGAACAGCACTCAACAAACTGAGCATCGTTTTTCCGTCACAGTCAGACGTAAGTTGATGATGGCTGCGTTACTTGGTCGCCCTGCCTCAAGACTGACCCTGGACACAGCGTTAAACCCCAGCACTTGACGCTACCGTTGAGTCACACTGCATTTTTGCGCTTGCCGTCTAGGCCTGATGCACTTCACAAAACCACTCTGTTGCGAGCCGAATCGTTACAGTAGAGTACGGTACGGTACTCTATTTTCGAAAGACACTGTTTTGCATGCAAGTGCTTGCAGCAGCAGCAGCAACGCAGCCGATCTGCTCGCGTGAGACCATGCTGCGTACCACAACCAAATTTCCCTTGTTTTCGTCAGCTCGCCACGGTAAAAACTCATGATTCCCATGCTGACGCAGCATTTTTCACGGAGTGCGACCGGGCCCTTAGGGGTTTTTGTATACAGGGTGTCGCCAACATTACAGCATGGCTGCTTAAGTCATATATGTCTTGATCTTGAATGTGGCCCCAAACAGAGATCACATGCAACAACATGGAAGCGCATCTTTCAAGAGTTGTGTCAAGAGATATACAGTCGACTCCTGATATAGCGAACACCATTGTGTAGGAGAATTAGTTTTTCGTAGCCGAAGTTCATTATAACATAAATGCACTAATACCATACAAATTCATATCACGTCATGACTGGTATGTGGTCCATCACTGTATGACTGCACTTGATTGTCACGATGCCTTACAAAAATTGTTTGTTATAAACGAAAACAGTTCGTTACAAAGGGTCAATTTTGTACGGATTCAAACAGGGACATGGACAATGGTTCGCTATAATTATCATGAAATCCGCTATATACGAGTTTGTTGTAAGCGGAGTTGCCTTTCCGTAGTATTCAGGCTAGTACTGCTCAATGAAGACCGCTCGAGTCACTCAAGTGAGCGCCAAGTACTGTGCAGCCCTAGACCAGCGACCAATGGGATGCACACTTGTGCAGGCGCAAAGCTGACTCGATCGATTGGATTTCAGTGACCAATCTTGTTTTTGTTTTTTTTGCAATTTTAAATTTTGACTTCACGGAAAATTTCAAAGTGGTAGGAAATTGCAAGTGTTGAGTTTCGGAGAGAAAATAGCAGTAGGTGGCATGTGGCCTCTAATTTCCTAACAATCTTGTTTTAGCTGTGAAAGTCGATTTTGTCATTCTCTCAATGCAATCAATGCGGGTGGGAAGGATTTATAGAGATGGATACTCGGTGAAGTGCATCACTTACTCCTTGTGTACAGTAACTCTCAAAACGGCTAAGGCCCTGCAAGTCCCTTGTGTGAACACACCATCTGCCCTCTTCTTTCTCCTTTGCTTCACAGCAACCGTGGCGGAGGTCAACACGGACATTTCATTGCCGTGTGCAGAGAATCCCGTCCCCGTAGGCGGCCGAGAACTATGGAGCGTTGTCAGGGGAGAAAACGCAAGCATGCCGGTCGAGGTGCGAGGACGCTACAGTCAGAATAGCTCTCTCTTGACTATCAATCGTCTCCAGATGTCGGACAGCGGGCGATTCCTGTGCCGTTTGCTGGATGGCAATCAGGTCGAGTTGTCAAGGCGTGAGACCACACTGTTGGTTCTGGGTGAGTGAGCAAGGGGTCATCACAAACGTTCTTTTTGCCATATTTAGGCCATTCACACGACGTGCGAATTCACGCGTGCGTGGGACCAAGAGGTCATTTGCAAGCCGCGATCCAGTTCACACGGCGCTGGGTCAAACTTGGCATGCGTCGACTCATCCATAGTGATCTCTTGAAAATGCCAGGAAATTTGAATGTTCCCTTTTGAAATAATAGTCTACGCACTGCATTTGCTGTGTGCAATTTCAACAACCGACACTTTTGCTCGCATGCAAAATACACTGGTGAGCACAAAGGGCCAGGCCGAGTTCAGGAATCAGTTGCACGCATGTGTCCACGTTTTATCTTATCCGAGAAAATATCCTTGGAAACTATTCGATGAAAGTGAGTTCGCACGTCGTTTGAATTTGACCTATAAGGGGATCTAAACTTGTGCAGCTGGTCCATAACAGGCTAATGTACAACATATCCAATCTTACTTCGTGCAGAGGATGCAGATAAGAAAGTCCTCATTTTTTGACCGGATGGAGCTGATGACAACGACTGAAAGATTTCCCAGTGAGTGTATGAATGAATATTTCGTGTCTGGTTCAAGCTGGGTGTTTTTGTTATCATTACTCGTGCAGTCAGTGTGGTACAGAGCTTGCACTGAAGTAGCTTTGAACTACTCTCACTACACACAGTAGCAGTGATAAGCTGCTGAAAGAATTGCTCATTGTGCCTGTTTTGTGTGGCGGGCGTTCACGTGTTTGCATGTGTGCTTGCGCGTATGTGCGTTTGTGTGTGGGGGAGGGGGGAGGGATGTGGTGTGTGTGTGTGTTGGTGTGTGTGTGTGTGTGTGTGTGTGTGTGTGTGTGTGTGTGTGTGTGTGTGTGTGTGTGTGTGTGTGTGTGTGTGCGTGTGCGTGCGTGCGTGCATATCTGTGCGTGTGTTTGTGTTCCTCTGTTCATGGTGCGTTGTTTAGGCCCACCTATAATCAAACGCTCACCTACGCAACCGAGCTATCTGATTACGGCAGCCGACGCTTCCCAAACTGTAGTCCTGCAAGTACACATTGAAAGGTTGGCTGGCAGTATTGCTCTTTTTGCCCTTTTTCTGTGTGTTTGCTTGTGTTTTGTGTGTCAATGTATGTTTGTGTGCATAAGCATGCATGGAGAGAACGCCTGCGAATGAGTGCGTGTGTGTATCGTTGTGTGTTTGTGTGTGTGTGGACATGTGTATGTATCTGTGTGTGTTTGTGTCTGTCTTTGTGTCAGAAATGTGGGCTGATTTGCTGTACCTTTTACACACGGCTTCCGAGAGGAGTTTTTTAACAACATTTTTGTTTCGGGCATCCATGAATGCACACACACACACATGCACACACACAGGCACATATGCAAACACACACACACACACACACACACACACACACACGCATGTACAAACACACACACACCTTTGGACCTTTGGAAAGCCCATCGCCGAAGGCGATGATAGCTATTAGGCGAGGCAGTAGTTCTTGTGTCGGGATAAATCATTCGGACGGCGAAAGTCGCGGCCGCAGACACAGACGAACACTCTTGGTTGGGGCTGGCTTGGTGGCTTCCGACGGCTACGTTCGCGCCAGTCCCTCTGGTCCTGAGCAAGGTGGTACCATTGCGTCTCCGGGATACCGGTCGCAAGCAGGTCTGAAGCTGCCACATCTCTCCAACGACGCTTGGGTCCATGGCGGGGCCGCGTGTTAGTGCCCTCCGCAAACAGGATCTGCTTTGGCAACCTGGTGTCGTCCATCCTTGCGAGGTGACCAAGCCATCGCAGGCGATTCGCACGAATGGCCTCCTCCAGCGAGGCTGGCATGCCGCTGCGCTTCGCCAAGTCTTCACTTGACAGGTGTTCCTGCCACTGCTGGTCTCGGGTAACACTCAGGATCGTGCGAACACACTGTCGATGGAACGTGTCCAACCTGCGCAGGAGGGGTGCCTTCAGCGTCCATGTCTCAGAACCATACAGCAGCACTGTAAGGACCACGGCCTGGTAGACCTGACGTCGGATTCCAAGCGACAGACCCGAGTTCCGGAAAATTGGTTGGAGGAGGCTACCAAACGCCCTTGATGCCTTGGCGAGACGAGTTGTGACTTCGGGATCCAGCTCTCCATCGTCGCTGATCGTACTGCCGAGGTAGGTAAAATCGCTGACCACGCCGATCACGTCACCAGCACTCCCAGGCACCACAATATCAGCACGGATGACACTCGGACCGCCCGCCAAGAACTTCGTCTTCTGCACACTAACAGTCAGGCCCCAGCCTGACGCACACTGCGTAAATTCCTTCACCATCATCTCCATGTGCTCGTACGAAGTGGTATACAGGGCAGCATCATCTGCAAATAGCGACTCCGACACGGATAAGTCTGTGAGTCTGTGCTTGGCAGTACGGTCGCCAACCAACTTGCGGCCGATACGATGTTTCATCGGGAAACTAGGCACTGTGGATGTTGAGCGCCAGTGTGCAAGGGCGGCAGAGAAGTAGAGGTTGAACAACATCGGAGCCAGGGTGCAACCCTGGCGTAGACCATTCTCCACCCCAAAGCTGTCAGACTGACCACTACCCACGCGAACAGACGCCATCATACCCTCGTGAAGAGACCGGATCACCTGAAGCATGCGCGGAGGCACACCGAGTTTCTGCAGGACCAGCCAAAGCGCTGTTCGGGGGACCGAGTCGTACGCCTTGCGTAGATCCACAAACAAGACATACAGATCAGATTGATGTTCAATGGCTTTCTCGAGTACTTGGCGGGCAGCAAAGATCATGTCGATGCAGCCCCTACCCTTCCGAAAACCGCACTGAGACTCTGGTAGCCAGTCTTCAGCGAGTGGCTCAAGCCGGTCCTGGAGCATGCGAGCAAACAGTTTGCCCACAACATCGAGCAAGCTGATGCCACGCTAGTTATCGCAGCTATGCCGGTTACCCTTCTTGGGAATGGGGACTATCTCTGCATCACGCCAGTCAGCAGGGACCGATCCAGTTTCCCAAACCCTAACGATGAACTCATGGAGGCGACCCAACAACAGTTCACCACCACAACGTATCAGCTCTGGCAGAATGCCTGATTGACCACTGGCTGTGCCATTCTTCATACGGCGAAGTGCACGTTGGAGCTCCTCGATGCAAGGGACGTCGTCCAGATGTTCACGAACATCCAATGCAGGCATGCTGTCAACAGTGTGTTGGTCAAATTGGCTCTGCGTATTTAACACCATCTCAAAGTGCCGTCCGAAACGAGCACGAACAGCATCCGCATCTTGGTTTCAAGTTGCCGTTCTCATCCAGCACAGCAGATGTATGCTTTGAAGTTCTGCCCTTCTCAATTTCCTGCAGCTTCCGGATACACTTCCAGCGAGTGCGCCCATCTTTCTTAGCCTCCTCAGCATCACGCACTACCTCTGATATCCAGTTCTCCTTCGCCATCCGCACAGCCTTTGCCACTGTAAGTTGTGCCTGTCGAAAGGCTTTCCGAGTATCAACTGTATCGTTTGACAGCAACGCTTGATGGCAGGTATTCTTGGCATCAATGAGCGGCTCAAGAGTCGAGCTGCTCTCCAAGAACCAGTCTGGTTGAACACGTTTACCAAAACCAATGATGTCAGAGGCATCAGAGGCAGCAGACGTAACAGCGTCACGGATGCCAGACCACTCTAGATCTATAGACTCCACCGACTCTCTGGGCACTGCAGAATCCCTGGCCAGACGCTCCTGAACACTATCCTGGAAAGCTGTACAAACATCAGTGTTCCGCAGACTCCTCACGTCAAAACGCTTCCGGTTGCCGCTGCCACTTGTACGCCCATTGCGCGGTGGAGCACCACGACTCAGAGCCAAACGTGCACGGACCATGTAGTGATCAGACCAAAATGACGCGCCACGCATGACAGAGACATTCTGACAGTATACGTGCTGATCCTGTCGCATAATGACATAATCAATCAGGTGTGGTTGACGTGTGGCAGGATGAGTCCAGGTTCCACGCTTGCGTAGCTTCTTCCGAAACCAGGTATTCAAAACGCATAGTGAGTTCCTCGCGCAGAACAACAATAAATCCTCACCAGCCTGATTACATTGACCAAGACCAAAGTCACCAATGATCTGATCCCAGGGGGGCCTATCGTCATACCTGTCCCGAAAATCACCAGTTCCGCGTGACCCTACTCTGGCGTTGAAATCGCCCAGGAGTACAAAGATGTCGTTACGGTTGACTTTGTCAACGATCGCCTGTAGGTGTCTATAAAATGTCTCCTTCACGCTGAATGTCGCTTTGTTGGTGGGCGCATAGATGTTGATAACAGACAAGTACTGATCACGGTGACATTGATCTCCGCGGGGTAGTTTGTCCCCCTTCGCGTGAAGTAGGATACGAGCCGTGACGATGCGTGAGCTTACGGGGTCCCACTGTTCTCCGCCACGCCGCCACGCCGCCGACATCTCTGGATTCATCCAAATTCCAACACCCTCGTTCCGTCGGGCTGGTTCTCCCCCTGTTGGGATTGGGCGACCAGAATGAACAAAGGTACAATTGCCGATGGGCCACACATCACTGCCGAACCACTTCGTCTCTTGAATTCCCGCAACTCCGACACGGAATTTTACGAGTTCCGCCGACAAAAAGTCCAGACCTCTGTCCACTAGCGACACTGACTTGTTTTTCCTACATATCCTGGCATCACCTGTGTCCTCTACAAGGGACTGGACATTCCAGCTCGCCATAAAGAGAGTCTCTCGCTCCTTCCTCGACTTCCTCATCGTCCTCATCCTCGTCCACAACTATTCGACACCCACACACACACCCACACCCACACACACCCACACACACACACGCACACACACAGACACACCCACACACACACATACACCCACCCACACACCCACACGTACAGCATCCTGGCAATATCCTGAAGACGTACATTTGTATTGTCTTGTCCATACAGTGTCTCGCCAGTGTCGGTGGTTTGGAAACGAGATGGTGAAGTGGTGATGGATACTGTCCATGCCAAACATCTGTCTAACCATTCGCTCGCTCTCTGTGCCATCCGTGAAGCAGACTATGGGAACTACACCGTCATTGTCACAAACGACTTTGGATCGGCATTCCTGGGTGAGGCTGTCAGCAATGGCCGAGTGTCTTTGCGAGTGTGTGTGTGTGTGTGTCTGTTTGTGCGTGTCCGTGTTCATTTTTGTCACAGTATAGTTTCCCGGTGTGAGCCGCACTGGTGTATACGCTGGACCCGGTTTTTCCCCGCACGAACTGCAGACACTTACCTTATTTATCCCTATTAATTTGACCGCTGTAGTATAAGCTTCTGTAAAAGCCGTTATTCTAACGAGGCGCATGTATAACGATTTCCCAAAATTGACTAGTTTACGCGTACCGAAGGTAACGATTCTCACTCATTTTCAACGCCCCATAGGACAGTATATGTATCGATTTCTATTTAACGATTTCTATTTTAACAACAGATTTCTCCTCGGTAACTCGTTAGAGTTAGCACTTCGTTAGAATAATGGCTTTTACAGTAGATCAAATTTGTTCGAGTCACGCCATTTAGTGATGTATTTAACCCATTCAGCGCTACTGGACCTTGCCTATGGTACTCTGCATATAAAGGCTAAAAACAGTGTCAATAGCAAGTTCTAAAACTCCAGGGTTCTGGCAAGTAGTCTCCATGACGTCTATAGACGTCATCAGCGTTCAATGAATTAACATGAACCTTCTACCCCTGAAAATACGGGACATGCAAGGATCAATGATCAGAGCAAGGAAGAAGGGGAGGGCATGACAAACCGGCAGTGAAGTCTTCACTGTCCACAGTTTCATTTACTAATAATTAAACTCCAAGTGGGTGACTCGATCTCTCCTTGACCATGCCATCTCAGAGAACAGTCCACATCACGATTCACGAGTTCATACCCACTGGTATGTATTTGTGGCTATAGTTGTGTTCACGGGGCACTACTTTCATCATGTAACTTACTCGCATCGCGCCCTGCACGCGTGGGCACTAACTCACTGTCTGCCCGAGTACTGACTCGATATCTCAGTTATGGTTGCTCAATTTCAATTTGGAACAAAAGTTCAATTTAAACTAGAGGGAAGGTGTGTTTTCAAAGGAGTGAAGAACTTGGGCCAAGGATGGTGTGGTGTTTGACTTTTCGCGATCTGCATTGTTCAGCTACATGGTGTAATGAAGGCAGCATGCTGTGTATCTAGCCCTTAGAAATAACACACAGTTGCACCCTGATGTTTACAGAATATGGGTACATATTTTTCTTTCGAATCAAAAGAAACAGTTCCAAGATATAATTGGGATAGGGTTTTAATCCTTCAGCACCAACAACCCTCATGACCACTATAATTATGGAAATGATGCGAATGCAAAGGTGTGTGTGTGTGTGTGTGTGTGTTGGTGTGTGTGTGTGTGCGCGCGCACGCGCGTGTGTGTGTGTGTGTGTGTGCGCGCGTGCGCGCGCGTGTGTGTGTGTGTGTGTGTGGGTGTGTGTGTGTGATATGTTTCACTCACTGCATACTATCGAACTGTTCACGCTCGTTGCTTCCGTACTGCACAGATACATTCAAGCGGCGACTGGCGAAGAGCTCGAGTGTGAATAACAATCGTGCCATCACTGGCCTAGCTGTGGCATGCGCTCTCCTGAGCATGGGTCTGGTTGCTGGTGGCATTGCTTTCAAATACGGAAAATGTTACCGTCCGACGTCACATGGTGTTTCTTCTGGTCTCCGAAGACTGGCCAGGAGGAGACAGGATCACGCTAGAATCTGCACGCTGAGCAGTACTGCGAGCATTCAACACCGACGGGGCGATGGCGTTATATGGTACCCGCCAGGTCAGTAACAATAACAAACCAAGAGTGTTATGCCTGAAAGAGAAGTGGTGGGCACACATGCTCCTTCCCTGGGCACTGCAAAGTCACAATTCAGTTTCAACGCATCAGTAATCAAAGCTTCAGCAACATGTCTTGACTAGCGATATGGAATGAGCATGAACTTGAATATGGCAACCGCCACCAAAGTTCAAACCCACTTCACCCGACAGACTTCCACCAGAACCTCTGCTCAATTGACCTGAACACATTCAGCGGATGCTGCTTGGTTTCCACCATTCCTGTACTCTAAGCAGAGAAGTCGTCCAGGGCGTCCAAAGGTGCCCTTTTCTTCCGGTACTAAGCCATGCCACATTGAAAGATGGTCCGTGAGCGATGTTTTCTATTAATAATGCTGTTATTTGTTGTTTTCTCTATGGACTTGACATACTTCGTACTTTTTATTGTTGTAAGAATGGAATCGGTCATTATCACGTAAGACAGATGAACGGCGATGAACACCAACAAACAAGTAGCTTCTGGGGCGATAGCTCGACTGCCGCTTATCTCTACCATCTGCGGATAGCTACACAGTCATGGACTGCATTGCCCGGTCTGTCGGTCAGCAGTCTCCGAGCCACTACATGCACTTCACACGGCTATCCACTCAGCAGGTATGCGTGTATGTGTACATGTAGGAAGTGATTTAGACTTTCAAACGGCAACAATATCATCAGCATACACCTCCTGTACGCATCGGTTACAATGCACCGGTTGAATTCCATATCAGTGGGCTACTCATCTGTAAGCAAGTGACTGGGCAGTGCAGTGATGCGGAGCATTGGTGCCCTGCACAATGTGCTCTAACCAGTACGGACAAAACCATAATCATTATGATCAAGCTATATCTTCATGGACTGCGCCAACTGCCTCATTTCCTTCTGCAAACGACAATAGCCCACCGGATATACTTTTTTTAGTGTCCTTCTTTGTCTTAATGTAACTATCCATGCTTTTTTTTGCTGGAATGTAAGCCTCTTTTACGGGCAAACAACATACAATTCAATATCACTAACAATGCTACTTCTAGTTATGGACCTACTGACCATGAATATAGTTTCAAAGACTTTGCCAACTTCTTCTTTCCCGTCCTCAACTTACAAGTATGGACCTAATGACCATGAATCTATTTTCAAAGACTTTGCCAAATTCTTCTTTCCCGTCCTCAACTTACAAGTACAAACGCATGCCCGATACGCTTGCAGCTACTCTCTTTCGATTTTTTTAATTTCATTGTTCATGTTCTTTTGATCAGAAGCTGTTGTGTAAGGCCACTACCCCTCCCTACTTCCCACGGACCCACCACGATGGATATATCAATTTATTATCAAAGTCTTCCCCTGATATTGCATTGCAACTCGCTTAGTACGTACATGTTGTCTGATCGGTGATCATACATTCTCATGCTTAGTACGGACTATGTCAATGACCATGTGTACTCTTGGTAGCATGTACATGTGCAGTGTTGTCGTGCACGTGTATGAAAGTGGTGAAAAAATAAGAGTCCCAGACATGTACTTGTATCACAAAATCTGCCATGTCCGACCGTTTCCAGAAGTGGCAGGACATTGTGTCAGAGCATTTCCGAAATCTTATCGTGTTCCCTGAACATAGGTCGTACTACTGGTGTCACGTGTGATTGTCCGTACTCAAGTAAGTTTTGATGCTAAGTACATGTCCAGGTGCCCTTGGGCGTAGATCTACGTCTTATCAGACTTCCATTGAATTCCTGTAAGTATTCAGGAACTTCCCTACCCATGTGTACAGTCAACTTTGCGTATAATGACACTCGGCGGGGCATCAGAAAAGTGTCCTTATTCGCGAAGTGTCCTTAGACCTGAAGTGTCATTATAATTATGTATTACAGTTGGATGGGACTTTTGCTCTGGGCATAGAAATTCTGTCGTTATTCGCGAATTGTCGTTACGTCGGCAGTCGTTATTAGCGAAGTGGACTGTATACTAGCCCCCCCCCCCATCTGTACTCTCTTGTACCATCATCCTTCAATGCGACGGACCCCACGACAGGCGGTCTGCCCTTGGGTCATCGTAATAAAGTTATTACGGAGGATTAGCAAGACGAAATTCGCGTTCGCGTTCGCTCTCCAAGGAAAGTCGAACTCAGTCACGGAATTCGCGTTATGAGAAGGATTAGCAAACAGAATTCGCACATGCATGACGTTGACACGACGTAAATTGTGTACAGACAGTACAGCGTGGTAAATTTATGACTGCCCTGACACGAATCCACGATTCGTCCTCCGACTACTTTTCCGAGCGAAAAATGCGAAATTTCGCAATCCGGTTCGCGAACTGAAAAATGATTGCAAACGCGAACGCAAATTTCGTCTTGCTAATTGCTCGTCTTGCTAATCCGTCTTGCAATCTATTTCATGATGAAACAGTTGACAGATGCGTGGAACCCATTATTTGGGAGAGGTGCGACCTGTACTATTATTATCTCTCCTTTATTCACTTCTTTCGAAGGCGATAAGCCAGACCCACCGGGAAATATTTCCATGGGTGGGACAGCAAAAAGAAAGTGAAAAAAAAATAATAAAATAAATAAATAAAACCTAAAAACCAAAGGGACAAGAAATAGTAGAAGGAAGAGGAAGAAAGGAAAGAAACTCAATCCGAACTCCAACATCAAAACAATAATAAAGAATTTGCAGCGACAGGCAAAATACATCAACCAATGAAGGGAGTAACAAAGGAAATATCAGTCTTTATCAGTCGTTATTCAAGTCTCTTAGCTATTGAACATGCAAACGCAGCAGAGGTGCATCTACATGTTAAGGATAGTTCTTAGTATTTTAATCGAACCTTGTATAGCCTCCTGTTGTGCAATAGCCAGGTCTCCTCCCTGCACAGTCCGAAGGCATTGAGGAGTCTCCCTCACCAAGCCTCCCAGGGCACCGACAACCACAGGGACCACGTCAACCTGGGTGAGGGACCAAATCCTCGAAATCTCCCGCTTCAAATCATAATATTTTGAGCGCTTTTCAGCCATTTTCTTATTGATGTTGTTCTCACCAGGAACGCTGATGTCTATAATGTAGGCGATGCGCTCCTTGTCATCAACAATTGTGGTCAATTGTTTCTAAGCTGCCCTTGCAAAGCCTGCAATTGGCATCAGTTCGAGCAATTGACTTCATTGTGGCGTATTGGTAATTTTTCGTTTTGAGGGATTGGTCTTGTGCTGCCATAATCATGCCTTCAGTTGAAGGTTTCAGTGTCCTTGATTTCAACCACATGAAGGTAAGCTCCTTATCTAGGCGATTCTCCTCCAATCGGCTCCAATATCTCCCATGCAGCGGCATAGTGGAAAGTGTTTTGGATTTTCGCTCAGCGCACGCTTGTTTAATGGTATGCTTATTGGGTAAAGCTGGTCCAGCTGCTGGCAGATCCAAACTCGACAGGAACTTAGCGGCCTTTGCAGTTATTGAGTGGCTTTTTGCTGTAGGTTTTTGTTGATGATACTGATAAAGCAGGCTTATTCTGTCTATTGGGCTGGTACTCATGTAGCGGGCCAGGCCACACATGCTCCGGCCGTGCATATCCTCACAAGAGATCAAGCCCCGGCCTCCATCTCCCCTCTTCATGTAGAGCCTGTTGACTGAGGCTTTGGGGTGGTGAAATCCAGACGCAGTCAAGGCTGATCTTGTCGCTCGATCTGTGGTCTTGATTTCAGCCTCGGTCCAATTTACGATTCCATAACTATATGTCATAACCGGCAGAGCATACGTATTGATGGCCTTGATCATATTTCCCGCATTCAATCCACTGTTCAGAAGCAAATACAATCTCTTTTTGTATTCTGCAGTGAGTTGCGTCTTGAGCTGCGGGTGAGGTATCATGGCTGCTTGCACTACTCCAAGGTACTTGTATGTTTCATTGAGTCGTAGCGACTCTGCAATGGTCTCATCGCCAACCTGGATAGAGCATCCTTCATCTGGTTTTCCTCTCCTGACGTGCAGCACGGCACACTTGGCCGGGTTGAGATTCATGCCGATGTCATCACCAACGCCACACACGGTAGACACGAGGGTAGTCACATCCTTTGTAGTTTTCCCGTAGAGTTTAATGTCGTCCATGTACCAAGAGTGATTGATAGACAACTCGGCGTCTCTGCAGCTGACTCTGTATCCCAAAGGCAATCGGTTGAGCTCAAAACTGATTGGGTTTAGCGCCAGGCAAAACAGTAACGGGGATAATGTGTCACCTTGAAATATGCCTCTTCTTATTGAAATGTTGCCGGTAGTGACCCTGCATCTTCCCTGGTCGCATATGTGCATTGTCGTTCTCCAGTTCTGCATGCTACGAGCAATAGTTGTGACCAAAGACGGGTGGAATCGATACATCGTCAAAGCATGTAGAATCCATTCATGCGACACACTATCAAACGCCTTTTTGAAGTCCAGGTATGCCATGACCAGATTTCGCCCTTTCGTATGGGCATCCTCCAGAATCATCTTATCCACCATCAGGTGCTCCTTGCAACCAAGACCAGCTGCTGCACAACCGCGCTGCTCCGTTGCAAGTATTTCATGTTGATTGATGTGCTGCCACATAATCTTCGATATGGCGGCGGTAAAGAGCTTGTACTGTATCGGAAGACACGTAATTGGTCTATAATCTTTGGGCATTGCCGAAGGTGGAGAAGTCTTAGGAAGGAGAGTAGTAGCGCCAGACGTCAACCATCCCGGAATGTCACTGTGGCCATCTATCACCCTCTGGAAGGCTCTCCGAAGGTAAGAGTGCAGGCTTGTCAGCCTCTTCCACCAGTACCCATGCAACTTGTCATGGCCCGGAGCCCTCCACAAGGCTAGTTTGCGCAGGCAGTCAGCCAGGATGTCCTGGGTGATAACTGCGCTACTCTGCACAGGGACGTGTTCTTCATAATATTCTGCTTGCCTTACATACCACTCACCAGCGGTGAACGGCGCAGGTGTAGACAGAAGATCACTCCAGAATTCGGTGGCTTCACCCGCCTCTGGAAATTGCGGCGTCTCCAATCGATTTGAAGCACCACTAACAGAGTGTGCAGGCTCCCGAAGCGTCCGGTAGAAAGCACGCTCATTCATTTGGAACATTTTGTTGGCTTTTTTGGCCTTTTCATTTTCTCGGTATCGACGCATCCTGGCTGCTAGCTATTATTATTATTATTATTATTATTAACACTTGTCTCTTTCCCTCAAACCAGTTAATATTATTATTATTATTATTATTAATCCTCCGTATTAAGGGGCCGGCCGTAAATACATGTATTTACTTAGAGACGCCTAAGAGGCGTTTCTTTCTTGACTCCCCCCCCCCCCCCACAGAAAGCCCCCCCCCCCTTAATGCAGATAATACCACTCATAATAAACACCATACTATGCACACATATACATGTACCGTGCGTGTACAGTACAGTCAAATCCACTTATAACGAACTCGCATATAGCGAACCCTTTTCCATGTCCCTGTTTGAAATAAGTCACCCTTTACAGCGAGTGTCCCTGTCTCCCTGTCTACTCTGCCGTGACGCGGCCAGTGCAGTGCAGTGCGTCTCAACAAGAGTACAGAACCGTACTCTTGGTCTCAACGCCTACCTGTACTACCTGAAGCAGTGCTACATCATGCTACATGTACACGCTTCGTATGGTATGGATTCACTCCGAAATGTAATTTTTAGAAACGCGTTGCAGGCGAATCCACCCTCCACAAATTGTTTTGGCCACTTAACCGCCTTCCAATTTTCGACTTGCAAATTTTGTCTCAGGTTTTATACTGAACGATACGAGTACGGCACTGTATCATAAAAGTAAGTTACTCTTGTGACAAGTTTACAACAGCTGCACCATTCATGATCGTAATTATCATTCAACTCAGATGGCCCTGCTACCCAACAGGGCTTGCCATGCTTCCAGAAACTATCATTACTTTGTCCTTCCATTAGGGCTGAAACGATCATTCAATAACTCCTAACGATCAACCAATATCATTAACGATCGATATAATATATTATTGGTTTTATCGATTCTTGTCGGCTCAATCGAACACCAGTTTATAAAGAAATTCTATGATGCCTTTGCTACGCTAGAAATTTGTGGCACCGCACCTGTTGACATCTGTAGATATCTGGCTGGTTTTATCAGCATGAGCTACTCAACTAGAGAATTTCATATTGTTTCTTGAGCAAAGAATCTTGTCATCACCCTCTGGCAACTACTCTCATCTCCAACTTCTCCCACAAATAAACCGAAGAGACTTCTTCTCTCCCAATCTCTTTCAAAGCCACAAATCAATTTAACTGCGCTTGACAGTACATGATTGCACTCGTATTCCACTATCGGATGGAGTGCAAGGGCTAGAATACTGTCACTGATATGCATGCATAAAAAATCGTTAGTATTCGTTTTGAACACTAACGATTATCGATCGCACTCTTAACGATCGATATGCGAGTTATCGGTATAATTGTTTCAGCCCTACCTTCCATACATG